GGAGGAGGAGGAAAACGAGGAGGAGGAGGAAAACGAGGAGGAGGAGGAGGAGGAGACGGAGTGCTGCGGTCGGCGCCCCTTCGTTGGCTCCGTCGCCGACAGCAGGACGGGACAGACGAAGAGCAGCAGCAGCAGCAGCAGCAGCAGCAGCAGCAGCAGCAGCAGTGCTGTCGGCAACCCTTTGCTAGCTCCCTCGCCAGAGGCGTAGCTGTGCGGCCGACGAGCCCGTTTCCCGCCCTCGCTCCTCCATCGATTATCGGGAACACCAGAAGGGCATACATGCCCGTCGTTGAGAGTAGATAGTTTGGGCATCAAGATCCCAATCTGCTTCATGCGCTTTCCTACTTCACGAATCGATATGGTTTGTTGCCTTTTCAAAATGCAACACAAATTTTGTTGTTATTCGGGCGGGCCCGAACCCAACCTACTTTATCAGACTTCCTGCTTCATGTTTCCACCTACTGTTATGGTCCTACGTTACCGCGTAGTTTGGAATACGCCTATACGCGCTAAGTGCTCCGACGCTAAAGTTGAGAGATTCCGGCCAGCTACACCGGACCCACCTCCCCCCCGAGGAACGCAATGTATCCCACTTGCAATCATGAAACATACCACCCCGAAGTTTACACTGTTGTCATATTGATTTCCATGCTTTTTTATACTTTGGATGTGCATTTCAACTTGTTTTTCCGTACGTGTGCTTCCGCATTGCACATATTCCACATGGGTGTTTCGCGGACCTGTTCGTTCTTTCGATCTTTACCCATTTACACTCGTGCTATCGTGTCACACGAGTGCTTGCATTTTTTCCGTACTTTTGCCCGAATCGAGTACCTCCCAGTATAGGGGTCTCGAACATCATAACGCTAAGTGTTCCGCACTTAGCGTGTATCCTGCGTGGCTTGTTCTTAGCGTGTATCGGAGGGCTGCTGCACCCGACCCTCCTGCGCTGCTCGGCGTGTCAGCGGCCCCGGTTTCGCAGGGCTCTAAGACAGATGCACGCTGAGAATAGGACCATGGTATGGAGGAGGAGGAGGAGGAGGAGGAGGAGGAGGAGGAGGAGGAGGAGGAGGAGGAGGAGGAGGAGGAGGAGGAGGAATAATATTATAATATGAAAATAAGAGGAGGAAGAGGACGAGGAGGAGGAGGAGGAGGACGAGGAGGAGGAGGAGGAGGACGAGGAGGAGGAGGAGGAGGAGGAGCCGTACTTCTTCCGACTGGCGGGTTCTTTTCAAGTGTCGGAGGCCCTCGAAGATATCTCGTGGGTCGGCGGTGGGCCTCCCTTCCCCCAACACACCCCTGGTGGCACCACCCTCTCGTCGCTGGTCGCCCTCCTCCCTTGCCCTCCTCCTCCTCCTCCTCCTCCTCCCTCCTCCTCTTGCTCCTCCTTCCTCCTCCTTCCTTCTCCTCCCCCATCCTCGCCCCTCCTCCCACTCCTCCTGCTCCCCGTCTCTCTCCTCCTCCCTGTCCTCCTCCCCCTCCTCCCCGTCCTCCTCCTCCTCCTCCTCCTCGTCTTCCTCCTCCTCCGCCTCCTCCTCCTCGTCCTCTTGCACCATCCACCCTCGTCGTCCTTGGAGATCGGCGGCGAGCGCGGGGGGGAAGTGAGAAGGAGATGGTCTTCTCAGAAGGCGGCGGGACTTCTCAGAAGCCCCCGCGCCCTCTGAGAAGTTTCCGGCATCTTCGGGGAATGCTCAGTCTTTTTCTCGGGAGGCTAGGGTACTCCCGAGCCTTCTGAAAGGGCACGCCCCTTCTCACGCCCCCCCCGGGTTCGCCGCCGATCTTGGAGAGGGAGGGGGAACCTCCAGCTCCGCCTCCCCCTCCACGGGACCAGCTTCGAGTCTCGATCTTGCTGCCGTTGGCTCCCGGGCGGGCCCCTTGCGGCTGTCCTCAGCAAGCACCAGGTGCAAAGTGGGCGTGGGAAGGTCTGGGTGGTGGTGGTGGCGGTCCTGGGTCCTGGGTCTGGATCCGTCCTGTCTGCTCGTGGTGGTCTGGGTGGTGGTGGTGGTGGCGGTGGTGGTGGTGGTCTGGGTGGTGGTGGTGGTCTGGGTGGTGGTGGTCTGGGTCTGGATCCCCCTTTTCTGCTCGTCCTCACCCGCTCGCCCCCCGCCACTCACCCCATCAACCCCCTTACGTCCCCGTCTTCTACTCCCGTCACGGTGGATGCTCCCACATGCTCGTGAGCATGCCGGCTCCCACACCGTCTCCGCGGGAGCCGACGTGTTCGTGAGCAGGCCCGTTTTCTCTCCTGCTCTCATCTTCGCCCTGGTTCATCAGCCGCGGGAGAGAAGTCAGAGAGAGAGGACGATTATGATGATGATGCTGCTGATGATAATGGTGATGATGATGATGATGATGATGATGATGATGATGCTGATGATGATGATGATGATGCTGCTGCTGCTGATGATGATGATGATGATGATGATGTGATGATGGTGATGATGATGATGATGATGATGACGATGCCTCAGATGATGCTGCTGCTGATGCTGATGCTGCTGCCGATTGTGATGATGTTGCTGATGATGATGCTGGCGACGATACTGCTGCTGATGATGCTGATGATGATGATGATGCTACTCCTGATGATGATGCTGCTGATGATGCTGCTGCTGATGCTGATGAGGTTGATGATTATGATGGTGATGAATCTGATGATGATGATGATGATGATGATGATGATGATGATGATGATGATGATGATGATTATGATGATGGTGATGGTGGTTATGATGATGGTGAGGATGATGGTGATGATGATGGTGATGATGATGATGATGATGATCATGCTGATGATGATGATTTCCATGATGCTGCTGATGATGAAGAAGACGGTGCTGATGCTGATGCTGACGATGATGATGACGATGCTGCAGCTCATGATGACACTGATGATGATGACGACGATGATGTTGTTGATGTTGTTGTTGATGATGTTTTTGTTGTTGTTGATGATGATGATGCTGTTGGTGGTGGTGATGATGATGATGATGATGGTGGTGTTGGTTATGATGATGATGCTGATGATGATGATGATAATGGTGGTGGTGATGACGATGGTGATGGTGACGATGATGATGATGATGATGTTGATGACGATGACGCTGATGATGATGATGATGATGATGATGACGATGATGTTGTTGTTGTTGATGCTGATGGTGATGATGATGATGATGCTGCTGCTGATGATGGTGGTGGTGATGACGATGGTGATGGTGATACTGAGGATGATGATGCTGATGATGATGATGCTGATGATGATGGTGATGATGATGCTGATGATGATGAGGATGATGATGACCAGGAGGAGGAGGAGGAGGAGGAGGAGGAGGAGGAGGAGGAGGAGATGATCATGATGATGATGAGGAGGAGGATTAGGAGGAGGGCGATGACGATCGGGCGGTGCTGAAGCGGGCCTCCACGGGCCTGCTGCGCCCTCGTCCCCCCCCGTGCCCGTGTCCCGGGGTCCCCCGGTGGCGTCCTGGAGCTCCTCCCGGGGTCCCCTGGGAGGCCTCTGCTTGGCCTCCTCGAGGCTTGCGGCGGATGCCCGGCCGGGGCACACTCTGCGGGAAGGAGCGGCCTCGCCCAGGTGTGCAGCAGGAGCAGCCGATGGCAGGGTAGAGCCTGGGAGATCTCGAGAAGAGGGAAGAAAACACGAACATCACGAGTCACGGCCGCGCAAAGCGGCCTCGTCGAGGTGTACAGCAGGAGCAACCGATCGCAGGGTGAAGCCTGGAAAATCTTGAGAAGAAGAAGGAATAAAGAAAGCGAACAGCACGAACAACGGCCGCACAAAGTAAGGAGAGTGTAGACGTTCTTCGAGAGATGGGCTCACGGTCACTCCACAGCGCAGCAAGGACCAAGAGGTTGCCTCCTGCTTCGAACCTCGGTCCGCGAACGTCGAACCGAACCTCGATCCTCCCTCCACCCCCAGGGCTCACTCACTTCGACTCCTCCGATTCGATTCGACTTCGATGGCTCCCGATTCCGATCCGATTCGCCTCGGGATTCCGATCTGGATTCCGATTTCGCACTGGGGGCTTGGTTCGCCTGCCGATCTCCGCCCATTCGACTTCTCCCGACCTGGCAGCCGATGTCCGCCGCTTCGATTCGTTTCGATCGCCGATCCGGCTCTGGGCTCCACTGCCCCCCGTCCCCGCCCGCCGCCTCTCTGCGTGCCGCGTGCTCGCGGCCCCCTTGGCGCAGGCGCTGCGGAAGCACAACAACAACACCCAGGCTCTGCCCCGCCTCGGGGGCCAGCCTGACGCGCCCTGGAGGGAGATGGGGAGGGAGGTGGGGAGGGAGGTGAGAGGGAGGAGAAGGTGGGGAGGATGAGTGAGGGGAGAGGGAGGGGTGGGAGATGAGAGGAGGGTGGGTGGGTCAGGGAGGCGCAGAGTCAGGAGAAGGTGACGGAGTATGAGCAGGGGGGAAGGCAACGACAGGACAGGGCACTTGACGATGAGACACGACAACGAGCACGACAAGATGCGCGCAATGCACACCAATTCACAGCATTGCGCGACGATACAACATGCTCCACAGTGTTTTGTCCCTTACGGTTCGTTGTGACGTGGACAGGGAGCATGCATGTCTACCAGAGGTTCGCAAATATTGTTTCACACGGCGGATGACTTTTTTAAATGTGCAAGTGTACTCTCGACGCGTGTCAGAATCCATCGAGTTTTGGCTGTGTGGCGCACTTCAAAACAACGGTGAAGATGTAGGCGAGCATGGGTGAAAACCACCTCACGCGGCAGAGGAACGTGCGCATTGGAAAGCTGAACACGTGCATGACTTGCCATCTCTCTCGCTATCAGCATCTGATTTGCTCTGGCGTCCGAGGCAGCTTTGGACTACCTCGTTGGTGGAGGCGAAGAGGACTCATCTTTCGAGCTTCCCCCTGCCTACTTTCCATGACCTGTAGATCTCTACATATCTTCATTTCTCTTGCTATATAGCAGAGGCCTCTGGGCCTAAGCCGCCGATCTGGGACGCTC